TGTGTCTACTGCAGTGAGTGGTGGGGGCCAGGGGAGGAGCACCGTGTGCTGAGGGAGGGGCGGCTGGTCTGCGAAGGGGCGAGGAAGGTTGGAGGGGGCCCACGTCTGACCTCAGCACCCCAGGAGTCAGCCTGGGCCTGGTGACACGGGGTCTGGTCTCCTGCCTGCTTTGATATCAGAGGGGGCCAGGCACCCTCACCCCATTCATACAGCACCCTACTATTTGTCTGTCCTGCAAGCTGGGCAGACTCTCTGGCAGGGCCCTGGAGAATCACCATCAGTCTGTCTCCCTGGCTGGGCTGACCTGCAGCCTAGTCATGTGGAGGCCCAAGGTGAATGGGTCTTACGAAGGACGCTAAGCCATGTGCAGCCCTGCCTCCTCTGGGAAGGAGGAAGGAGGACCAGTCGTCCCATGAAGTGCAGCCAGACCTCAAGGTCAGAGCCACCAGCCTTGAGGGAGGTGGATGGTCAGGCTCCTTTCCCCGGCTAACATGTGTTTCCAGCCTCCTTGGTGCCCACGCCCCAAACAGTCCCAGCCACCAAGCGCATTCTGACTTAGAGCGGCCGACATGAGAGGGGAGAGCAGAGCTGCTCCCACCCCTCCCCGGCCGGGCGTGGTCTGAAACTGTAAATCCTCGTGGGAGCAGACTGCATCATCTTCCCCCGCAGAGTAGCTGGTGGGTTTGAAGGGCCCGGAGGGCACCCCACCTTGCACCTTTTAGCAGTGCAAGGCTTGGCCCCCCAGAGCCACCAAGAAAACTGAGCCCACTGCCATTGAGCTAATTCCAACCCACAGCAAGGCTGGAGACCCCCAAGGGGGCAGTCAGCCTCATCTTCCTTCCATGGGCTCCATGCGGGAGGGAGATGAGACCCCACACCACCAGGCCTGGCTGCTCCTGGGCCCCGCTGTCTGCACGAAGCCTTCCCCTTAGCCTTGGCCTTGTCTCAGCCCCGCCTTGGCTGTGCCGAGGGTGCCCTGCAGAGGAGGGGGCCCAATGCTTCGCGTGGCCGGTGCCCGCAGCTGGTCATGGATAGCCTTATTCGAGATAGTTCTTTCCATGGCCACGGTCTGCCGCTACACTGAACACACGCAGCCCACTGCCGGCGAGCCGATTCTGACTCAGGCGACCCTCTAGGACGGGCAGGACCGGCCCGTGTGTTTCTGAGAGGCGCCTAAGCAGACGAAGTCCTCTCCCTGAGACCGAGCGAACGCCTCTGCAGCTGCCCACCGTGGGCAGAGACGAGCTGAAACGTGCTGCCGTCGGAATAAGGGAGCCCTCATGGCCTGGTGGTTATGTTGGGTGGCTAACCGCAAGATCAGTAATTCAAAACCACCAGGTGCCCCGAGGGAGAAAGATGAAGCTCTCTCAGCCCCATAAAGAGTTACAGTCTTGGAAACTCCCGGGGGGTTAGTTCTTACCCTGTCTTTGTGGAGTGCCTATGAGTCAGAAGCGACTACGTGTGGTTTTGTTCAGGTGTAAATACGCTCGGCACGTGCAAGTGGGGATGCTGGCAGCCATCCTTTTAGACTTGGGCTCATGTGTGCATGCAATCTCCAGGAAGCAAAGGTCCATAAACGCCTATCGGCCCATGGGCATCGAGCCCATTCTCACTCCTATCAGCCCTGCAGGACAGAGAGCACCTGCCCCTTAGGTGAGTCTTTACTGGAGCAGACCGCGTCGTCTTTCTTCCATGGACCAGCTGCTGGGCTTGAGTCTTGCAGTTGGCCACCACTGTGCTCCCACCCCCACCCCCCTGTCTGCGGACAGCCTATCAGAGCGGCCTTACAGCAGCCAGGTAGTGGCCTGTATCCTCTGAGGCCTGAGCTCAGAGGCTGATCCTCCCTCACCCACTGCCCCCACCAAGGCCCCACACCTTGCTCCACGTGCCCCGCTAGGGTGGTTGGGAGGCTGCTGTGCAGCTACCTCCCCAGGTTTGTGGGGGGAATGCCGCTACCTGATCCCCCATTCCCTGCTACTTCCAACACCAGCAGTCACCCAGGCGGCAGTGGCGGGTCCAGACTAAGACTAAGCATCAAGGCTAGGGGCTCGGGCGCCTCCTGAAGGTGCCAGTGAGGACCCTGTGGGTCTCCAGAGACTGCTGTCTGATATCCCCTGAGCTGGACGGCACTCAGGACACACAGTGGCCCCATAGTAGACTCCACTCAATGGCAGCCAAGGTGCTGATGAAGACTACCATCCATGTGGTTGCCGTGGGCAGGGCTGGCCCAAGAGCAGTGGGCTACACCAGGAGCTGAACTGGACGCCCATCTTCCAGGAGCTGAACTGGACGCCCAAGTCACAGGTCTGTGTGTCCACTCCCTCCTTGGCCTCCGTGAAACCGAGAGGTGACTGCACTCCCAGGGGAACAAGAGGCCACCCTGCCAGGGAGAAATGGCTTGTCTGGGAAGACAGCAAGCTTGCTTTTGCCAAGCATGGCTGAGAGCAGGCCCCAGGCGCCCAGGGCAGTAGCCAGCTGTGGGCCTGTGATAGGTAGGTTTATTGTGTCAACCTGGCCAATAGGAAGATGTGGGATTAATCAGGTCACAGTTTGATTGGAGGGCAAAGAGATAAATGGCTCAGCAAGCCCCACCCCCCTCTCTCTTGCTCTCTGGTAATCGGACCAGCGTGCGCGGCTGCTTTAGCTAGTTCTCTGCCTCAACCTGTGAGCTACACTACCTGTGGGCCAGCCAACTGTGGATCGTGTCACTAGAGCTTGAGGTTCCTTCAAGACCTGCTTCCTCACGCTGCTGGTGGGTACATCGCTTGAGCTTGAGGCTGGCGGATCCTATCGTCTTGCGTTGCTTGAGTTTGATATCCCATCCGGGTCTGCTTCGCTAAGCTCCTGAGCTACTGACTGTTGGTGACCCACCCTGCTGTTTGCTGCCTGTAGGCAGACTCTGCCTGCCTTGTCCCCAGGAAGCCTCAGCTGTTTGCTTCCTTGACCTTGGACCCAGCAGCCCTCCTGAGTTTAAGGACTTCTAGTATATTAACTGTTCCACGGAAGTGAGCTGAACTAAGCCCTCTGTACTGCTGTGTGGACTAAATTAGCTGTTATATCCCTTTCTGCTGTATAAATCTATCCTCTTATATATAGATATATAATCCTAAGTGCCCTGGTTTTGTTTCTCTACTGAAACCTGCCTAACACAGGGCCCAACCATCTTCTGCCATCTGATCCCAGGACAGGGTCTCGGGGCTAAACCACGGGTGCAGGTGGAGCCCCTCACTGGGTGCAGACCCCCTGAGTCAGAAGACCATTTTGGAAGCCAAAACACCCGCCGAGGCAGCCTCCCAGACTCCCGTACCTCATCGCCAGCTGTTTTTAAAAGTCCACTGGGCTGCACATTTCACAACTTCTCGTGGTTCTAAGCATGACAAGGCTAAGCAATTCAGGTTGCTAAAACCGGCCTCGCTAATTGCTCCATCAACTTTCTGCAGGAGAGAGGGACATCCCAGGTCAGCACAGAGAGAGGAGGACGCTCGGTGAGATGGACCGACAGTGTGGGTGCTGTCGTGGGCTCGGACATATCAACGATTGTTGGGTGATTCCTCCTGCCCTGCGTGGGGTCACCAGGAGTCGGGACGGAGCCCACAGCCCTCAGCACCCTCTGCCTTGGAGGGAATTTCCTTCCCAAGTGGGGGGACGACAACCCTCAGGAGAGCTAACTGCTTCACTCTCCCATCCTGTGAACGTCGGGTGCCCAGTGACCCTCCTCACTGACAAGGCTGTGGCCGCCGTTATCTCCCGGGTGAGACCGCTTGTGATGGACAGAGGTCACTCCCCAGCCCATCGAGGGAAAGCAGGTGTGTGCACTGGGAACGTGCCTTCTGGTCCTCACATGTACACCCTGGGGGGCGACTCCTTCTGAAACTGCCCCTCTGCTTCTCTGCCAAGCCCGCACATGCACCCCTGCCACCTCCTGGCTGCTCGGCCTCTTGTCCCCGGGCCCTAGACAGGCTCTTCTTTCTGTGGGTAAAGCTGCTTCCAGCAGGAGCTCACGCCCCTCCCCAACACCCCTGCTCCCTGCCACTGTCACCCAACAACTTCAGAAGCTGTCTTCTTTCACTCTCAGTAGGTACCGGGGTTTGTCACTTAGGCCGGGGTGACAATGGTGATGCTCTTATGAATAATATTTCAACCCCTTCCTCACCACCACCATTACTACCACCACCTTTACTATCACCACCACCACTACCACCAGCACCTCCACCTCCACCGCCACTACTATCACCTCCACTTCCACTACTTTTACCAACACCACCACTATCTCCACCACCACCACCACCAC